AATCCATACTGATGGGTCAAAGGATCCTGAGAGCGGTAAAGTGGCTTGTGGTGTAGAGCTGGTGGCAGTGCTATGGGCTTTAAAGTGGGTCGAAGATAATAAACAGGAATATTCAGTTATATGTAGCGACTCAGCAGCAACTCTGATTACAATTAAAGATACTAAAATGAACTCTAGACCCGATTTAGTTGTGGAAATTACGCAGGTGCACATGGGTGTGGAGGGTAATGAGGAAGCAGATGTGGTGGCAAAGAAGGCGGTGCTGGAGGAAAGAGTTCAAATTAATTTACAATATGGGTTACCGGATTACACAGAAGTAATAAATAGGTCAGTGAAAGAAATGTGGCAAGAATCATGGGAAAACGAAAGAAAGGGGAAAACATATTATTCAGCACAATGAACTGTAGAGAAAGGAAGATGTGCTTTTAGAGGTAAGAGAAGAGATGCAGTCTGGGCCGGCTCTGACTGGTAAACTCCCTGATGGAAAATGTGAGTGTGGAGACAAGGAAACAGTGAAGCATGTATTAGTTCATTGTAGAAAATACTCTCGCCAAAGGAGGAAACTGTTTAGAGACCTGGGAGCAATTGGAGAAACTATATTTAGCACACGCACCCTATTTAACTTAGATAGTTGGAACAAAATGAAGAAAGTGATCGAGTACCTACATGAAACTGGTTTATCCAAAAAGATATAGGCAATTAGCGTTAAGATGTGAATAACGAACAGAGGAGGGCAGCAATACGCCACAGATGCGTCCAGTCTGCCGGAAAGAAGAAGAAGAAGAAGAAGAAGAAGAAGAAGAAGAAGCTGCATCATCTGTCCACTGTTCCAGCTGTGACCTCTGTCAGAGCAGCAGAGCAGCTGTCGCCACTGAAGGCTACAGATCAGATCTGTCTGTCAACATTATAACACGTAGAAACATCTGGAGGTTCCAACAAACATTATCTGTTGAGAACAGTCAGATTACAGCAGCCTGGTCATCACCAGGCTCCACAGCAGACTAGGCCTACCACTTTTTTGCGGTGCGCCTTTAGTCTGTAAACAGGAGATCATTTCATCTTCAGTCCCTTTACAAAATGACACAGTAACATTTATCTCATAGAGCCCCAATTACAGCTGTCACCACAGCACTCTACTGTAGGAATAACGTGCAGACTACATGGTAACTATTATTAAAACATGAACCAGATCAGGTCTGAACGCTCTGCTTAATATTACAGCCTAATAATTTGACTTCAGCAGCTGTTTTGTCCCGATTATTGCAGCTGAATTAGTGTGACGCGCGGATCGGCTCGGACTTTAATGGAACTTATATAGGCCTATACGCATAAATCATTCACTTGCCCCCCCCCTTCTAATTATTTTATCAGATTTAGAGACCAGCATCTGCATGGACGTTTTACCTCCACCCCCACCGGTCACTGTAGCCTTCCAGGCGATTTCTTTCTCGTGTGTTATATTGATGAGTCATATCTTTAATGATTTACTTTGATGATTAGAACGGCTGCTGTCAGTAATTTAAACGTTTCCATCCGTGCAGTAAAGTCACAGCAAACACCGTGGGACAAAACAGAAAAACCTGCAGTAACAAACTTGACAGGACAGAGAGATTAAACAGAATGAAACTTTCAGCTTCTATAATCCACGTTTAGACTCTGATGGAGCTCAGGGTTGATCAGGAGGACGGCTGCTTTACTCCAAACACTTTAACTGTCTGAACCTGGACTGTGTGTGAGGCCGTTTGGATCTGAAGAAGAACACAGAACGTGAATTAACACCAGATCATGACCGATCCTGTCGGCGTGTCGGGAGATTTATTATTATTCATTTATGTTGCTGTGGTTCGTGCGTAAATGCGCACAGTGTCTCTGGGGAGACGCTTCATCCAGCCGCTATTTACTGTTCATTTTTACAATCCTGACAGTCAGTGTCAGTGAATCTGCTTTTTGATTTTTCAAGTAAATTTAAATCTTCTGAGCAACTTGTCTTCAGTTTTATATATGTATTAATATTTATTACATATAGTTACTGATGTGAAATGTTGATTGATCAGACACGTGATCATGGAAGTCAAACAGAAACGCCCCCGTGTGGTGAAAAGGTGTAAACACAACCGAGTCATTCTTATTTTTAATGTTCACTCTGATTCTTTAGTTTTTTATTCTGTTGCTTTTATAAAAGCTGTAAAACATCCGGGTACAAAGACGATCTTTAAAGAGATGACGTCAGCTAAAACGGGCCACTTTATTTGAAAAACAACAGTGAATTGTTTTGTGAGTTTGCTATCACCGTGTTCATTCAAATATTTCATTGAAAAATGCGTTTAACATTGAACTGATCTGTTGTGTGTGTGTTTCTGCACATGTGACTGCTCAGTCAGCCTGTGTGTGCACGTGGCCCACTTTAAGTTGCAAAAATCTAAGTTTCTTTACAAATTTGAACTATTTATTTGAACGATCCTGGCAAAACATCTTTAATAAACATTTAACTTTGTAGGTTTGGTTACTTTTAATCGCTTTATCAGCCTTATTAGTGAGAAGGATTCCTCTGACCTACTTCAGGTGGGCTGTGCCCCGCCCACTACAGACACCTCAGACCAATCAAAACTGTTTTTACATGGCAACCACCAGTGCTGCAGCAACAACTCAAGATCAGTACTTGTGATTGGATGTAAAGTTTTAGGGCGTTATAAAGCTCCAACCTTATTGGTCCCATTTTAGCTGACTCAGCAGAGTCTGTGTGTTTGAGCCTCTGAGGGAGGAGTTAAAGAGTCTGATGGTCACAGGCAGGAATGACTTCCTGTGGCGCTCTGTGGTGCATTCTGGGGGAATGAGTCTGTCACTGAGAGTCCTCCTGTGTTTGACAGCACGTCATGAAGGGGTGGGGGGGGGTCGTCCTGTCTAACATGTAGCTCCACACACTCACTGGCCTTGGATCAGTTTGTTGAGTCTGTCGGCGTCTGTTACCCTCAGCCTGCTGCCCCAGAATGCAACAGCAAACAGGACTGCACTGACACAGACTCCTAAACACCCTCAGCAGATGTTAAAGGAGCTCAGCCTCCTCAGAAAGAGCCGGCTCTGGCCCTTCCTGCAGAGGGCTCAGTGTTCGTGGTCCAGTCCAGTTTGTTGTCCTCCTCAGATCCAGGACCAGCTCCTCTTTGTCCCGCTGAGCTGCAGACGGTTCCGCTCACACCACCGCAGTCCTGGACAGAGACAGCTGCAGCGTTAAGGACTCCAACATGTTCCACGCCTGAAGCTGAAGAAACTCAAACGAGGTCTGTGAGATTCTCCACATTTCAGGTAAAATGTTCAACTGATTTATTTAATTTACCTGAGAAGGTGTTTCCCCGATGAAAGACCGGATATTTAGGTGAAGTCTGGTTCTGACGTGTGAAGACACAATGTTGGACTGAGTGGACATCAGCCTTCAGTAACCTGTGTGTGTTTTCAGCTAAAGCAGCGACCCCCCCCCCCCACTATCACTGTTAACCTGAACAGCTGAGGGAAGCTGCTGATCCTCAAACTCCCAGAATTCCAAAACAATTCTACTTATTTTACATTTTTTACCAAAGAAATCTTTCACAGAGCCGTGCACATTTAGAAAAACATCATTAGGCCTCATGCAAAGCTTATCTGATGGTCATTTCCCAAAAAGTCCTGAAGTTGAATTGTTCGTCCAGTTTCCTTCTTACATAAAGTTGAACATCCAAACAAAACATTCTGCTGCACGTTCATTAATAAAACAAATTGTTTCAACATTAATTCTAAATTTCTCTAACATCTTTTTTACTGGATACATAAGATGCCGTATTTGTAGGAAACCTCTTTTACTTTACTGTTAAGACACAATTTGTCTCCAATTAGTCAAAGTTTTGTGCCAATTAATTTCTCCATGAAGTGAAGCCCAGCAGAGAGAGACGGCATGTTTTTATTCTCAGTAACGTCAACTTCTCCAAACTATTTAATACTGTTAGGTGGTGGGATCATTGAGACCTGGAGGAATCCTTTATCCAGACTTCAGTCCAGATCAATCTGCTTTGTTGGCACAAATGTTTCAGTTAAACCATCTTACATAATCGCGAGGTTTACAAGATTAATCCAATCAAGACCGCTCAGTTTAGCAGTTAGAAATGACAAAAACAAAAATAACACAATTTAAACTGCAAACAGAAGTGGGGATTGGCCGAGCCCCTCGCTGTCCCTCAGGTTGGGACACATGCGTCTGTCCTTCTCCTGGGAATATTCTTCATTTATTGTTTTCTTCAAGTTCTTTGAAATCCGGTATTAGCAGATGAAATTTCTCTAATACATTCCTCACACTTGTTGTGGAGGTCTCAGACTCTGGACTCTTCAGGTAACCGGGACTTTTTCCTGTTTCAGGGTCTCTGGGTCTGCACTCTGAGCTGGACAGCAGACAGAAATTCAGCCGTTTCAGAATCTCTGTTTAGAAAATGATCTAGTTTGTGTTGTTTTTTTTTTGTTCCAGATATTTTAGCTCTGAGTGATCATCTGTTTGCTCTACCTGGTGTTTGGAAAGGTGTGCGACGTGTTGCAGGACTTGTTAGCCTCAGATGAACTTTCTGCAGCGTTCAGCTCTTGGTTCAGTTCACCTTTATGGTCAGACTTAGAAAAACACACACACACACAACACGATAAAACACAAAAGCACACAAAAATAGGACTTAAATTGGCACTTTTTATGCAGGACATTTGATGCTTCGACAGAGGAGACCGGTGTCGTACGACACTATTATCTCAAGGATTCACCAGCAGCTCCTGATGCATTCAGATTTCTCAGTCGAGCTGAAAGTGTTAACTCTTGTCTTAAGAAACAAATGACTTGCACCAACTCTCGGGTCTAAGAGCCTGTTTTAAAGCTCTAGTGTGAGTTACAGGACAGATCAGTTTGTGCAGAGCTCCAAGCCGTCAGACCTTTTATCTCTAATAATAAATATTTTAATTTCTTGTGTGTTCCTGTCTAATGTAAGAAGAGTCACAGCCTCAGTTTTGTAAGGTGATAAATAAACCTTCCTTCTGCAGCTTCACGCACACTTCCGGCTCACCGCTGGAGCGACGTCATGACGTCACCCACCGTACGTAGCGCGCTGTGGAGGAATGTGCGGAAACTTCTCCTCACTTTTCTTTCTGCGCTGTTCGTCGAAGAAACAGATAACAAAGCTGGAAAAAGTGACGGAAAGTCGGGTAAAGTTTGGACCTGAAGCCGGTGAGTCCCGCGGCTGTTCGCTGCTTAGTGTCCGGCGCAGAGCGCAGCTGCGGCGGCTGTTAGTCCGAGCGGAGCCGCCGGAAAGTTGTTGGTAGTTGGGAGGAAAATGGAGGCGGTGAGTTGGAGAAGAAGGCGCTGTCCGGGGCTGATCAGGACCATGGCTAACACTCCGGCCCGGCACTTTGCTTTAACTCACCGCCCCAGAAACCCACAGAACAAACACCTCCCGGTACTTCACACCAACTTTAACATGTCTGGATCAAAATGTCGCTGTTTGACTTCTTCTGCGCTTCCGCAAACTTTTCTGAAATGGTCGCTGTGAAAATCACAACCGCGACTGCAGGAACATTTAGACTGGAAACTTTAAGGATCTGAGTTTAGTTTAAAACACGTTTCAGCAGATATCTCAGTGACAGACACGAATAAAGAGGGGAAATAAATAGTGTGTTTTAATCCTCTAAACTATTCAGGGCCTCGCGCTGATTATCAGATTTCACTTTTTAATCTCTAAACCTCTTTGGATTTAAATAATCTCCGACTTTTACCATCTGATCGACGCTACATTTTACTTTGTAGCTCCAAATGAGCTAAAATAACTTTGCTGTTAACTCTTAAAGCTCCTTGTAAAGAATCTCCCGTCACCAAACTTCCATTCAAAATTAACGGTGTTTACTCAGATATTTGCGGACGGCCTGTTTTTATCTGGCTGGTTTAAGTCGTTTATCACTTTATGTTTTCTCAGTAAAAAGTCCGTTTGCTTCCCCTTTTTGTAACTCTTGTGGATCAAATTGTCTGTTTTCACTCTGAGACCATCAGCGTGTGTGAAGTCTCTGGCAGCGTTAAAGTTGGTGTTTTCCGGAGGGAGTTCTGAACGCGTGTCCTCTCCGTCCTTATGGCGCTGTCGACTGAGATGTGGTGCTGTTTCAAAATGGCCGACAGACACTTTGTCAGTGCGCTGAGCTTCAGCAGCAGAGTGAGGCATCGGAAACTACACGAAAATAATGTGTGGAAAGTGTCCCCTGAAAGTTGGATTGATGTTTTAAACCCTTTATCTTAAAGTTTACTGCAGAATATTTGGGATTGAAGAAGATTTAACACTAAATAAGCCTACTGGTGGCCCCCGGGGGCAGCAGGGAGCTGTGGGGCCTCCTGGTAGTTTGATGAAATTAAAGCACCAAACTGCATCAGTACAGCTGAATAAGGGCGTCTTTAGGCCGCCGCCACATCTCCCCCCTCTGATGGTCATTTCTTTATTTACCCTCAGGTGCGGAGCTGAAGTCAACATGGCCGCTCAGACGGTGTTCTCGGTGGAGATGTGTCCTGTGATGGAGGACGGTCAGAGCCTCAGCGACATGCCCAGGAACACGCTGCCCGCCCCTCAGCTGGTGATGCTGGCCAACGTGGCGGCGGCCGAGGGCGGCGGCGGCAGCGGCGGCAGCTGTGACGGCGGCGCGGCGGACGAGAAGGAGATGATGGAGCTGAAGACGGTGGGAAGCAGCTACTCTGACAGCGAGGACGAGAGCATCATCAGGTCAGGAGTTAGTCTGCTGCACGGCGAGCTGAAACACCGTCGTCAGATTATTTTTGAACACAGTTCAGGTTTCAAGTGGAGAAAGATTTGACTCCATGTAACCAGACGTAACACCTGAAACCAGGCGGGTAGATTAAAGAAGGTGGTATTCTGCTCATTTTCAAAAACACCATATGTTTTATCATCCTGCACGTTGCTGCAGCTCCTCTTTCCACCCTGTGTCGAAGGCTTCGTTTTAGCTATGGAGTGATACATCTTGTCTCTAAATGATCTTTGTTGGGAGCTGCACATGCTCAGTTCCTAGTTAAGGACTACTAGCCAATCAGAAGCAGAGAAGGGCGGGTCAGCGAGAAGCCGGTAAACAGCTCGGGTTCAGCCGTACGTGTTGCCGACCAGCATAAAGTTTTAACTGAGCTCTGTCTCTACATCACAGGAACAACTTTCTGTCCACTGACTGCCTGGAGGGTAGCTAGTGTTTGGAAGGGAGAGGAGAGCTGTGTGCTGCAGCTCGCTGTTTCTGAGGGCGTGTCGGAGTCACCGCTCGGCGAGCGTTATATGAGGCGCGTTTAGCTTTTATCCCTGTGAGGTCACAGCCAAAAAGCAGAATACCACCTCTTTAAGTAATGAAATTAAGCTGTTGTAAATTTAATAAACGCCATAACTTCCACGCTGCTGCTGTCCTCACTCAGGTTAAAGTTCTCCAGACAGATGAGGGCTTCATCTAGTTTTCCCTTTATGTGAACTGGAGCGTTACGATCACTGCACGTCGGCGGAGGTCAGGCGCCCGGAAAAAAAACCCTTAATGATCACATCTCATAATTGAAGATCGAATGAGCACCCGCCAGTAGAAAATACAGTTTCCATTCTACGGCTCGTTTGATGTTTCTGCGTCGTGCTGACAAACATCAGGTGAAATGTGGAAGTTCGCTTTCTGCTCTAAAAGCTCACTTTGCAGCTGGTTTGCCTGCAGATCGGTCCGAGTTACTTGTGTGTTGACTCACCTGTGTGTGTGTGTGTGTGTGATCAGGTACAGCTACGACAACCAGAACCACAGAGAGGTCTGCATCATCGAGTACCCCGACCCTCTAGGCCCGGGAATCCACGCCGTGATCGTAGGAAACGAGTCGGAGGAGGACGAGGAGGACGGCGGGGACAAAGCTGAAGACCTGTCCCGTCCCACTCGGGCCCGCCCCTCCGCCGCCACCAAAATACCAGAGCAAGGTATCAAAGGCAAAGGTAGCCCCGCCGCCGCCGCCACAACCGCCGCCGCCGCCGGGACGGAGAGATCCAAGAAGAAGAAGCCCTTCCACTGCAAGCCGTGTCACTTCCAGGCTCAGAACGAGCAGGAGTTCGTGGAACACCTCGGCACGCACGGCGTCAGCAAGATGATGGTGGTGAACCGGGTGGAGGGGAGGAGCAAGGCCAAGGCCAAGGCGGCGGAGACGTCAGAGTCCCAGGCGCAGTCAGGAGGGGAGGCGGAGAGCGGCGGGGAGGCGGGGGCCGCCGGCGACATCAAAGGGCTGATCAGATGTGAGCGGTGCGGATACAACACCAACAGATACGACCACTACATCGCCCACCTGAAGCACCACAGCAAGGAGGGCGAGGACCACAGGTAAGAGGACCACGCCCACACCCTCGGGATCCTGGGGGGTCCTGCGGGGTTCTCGGGGTCCTGTAGGGTTCTCGGGGCCCTGTAGGATCCTGCAGGGGTCCTGTAGGGGTCTCGGGGTCCTGTAGGGTTCTCGGGGCCCTGTAGGATCCTGCAGGGGTCCTGTAGGATCCTGCAGGGGTCCTGTAGGATCCTGCAGGGGTCCTGTAGGGTTCTCGGGGTCCTGTAGGGTTCTCGGGGCCCTGTAGGATCCTGCAGGGGTCCTGTAGGGGTCTCGGGGCCCTTTTAGGGTCAGGCTCTGTTGCATTCAGTCATTCTTATTCCACACTGTCTGTTGGTGTCGATTAAATCCCGCCTCAGATTAGAAACCAGGAAACGTGGATGTAAACGATGAGTCACGTGTTCACGTTCGTCAGAGCAGAGTCTCTGCAGCAGATATCGATCACAGACTCGTCATCTTAACGACCGTCAGCGGGGAAACTCCGGCCTGAAGTGTTTCAGCTTCGTGGTGACGCAGAACGCTTTCAATCCGCTAACGAGGACGTTCAGATAGACAGAGTTGACCACTTAGGCCAAATGCTCCAGAGTATGGAATGATGAGCGGAGAGATCATTCTTATTTATTCTTAATTATTCTTATTTATTCTTTATTCCTCTTTCTTGTGTGAATGAGTTTGAGGATGAGTGTAACGCTAAGTGTGGTTTCTATAAAGAGAGAAACAAATGAATAAAGGAAACATATTACATTACCAAAACAATAGTCAGAATATGACTATATATATATCTCTTAAACTCTAATAATATAAGCAGAAAGAAAGGATTCAAACACTTATTATATGGGATTCTCAGATTTTCTACTATGCGTTAAGTTCCCGCTAACAGACAGCACTTCCTGTCATCTTTGATACGTGTCGTAGCCTCCAACTGACTAAACGGCTGGCTGCTTTTATTGTGAAAACCCCATACTGGACGCTGTGGTTCCGTTCTGATTCAGAAGCCTCGATGACGCTCCAAATAACAGTATTCAACACCACTTACTTCTTATTCTACTCAACCACCAAGTACTGAACAACAACAAGCAGTAAAGTATAAAACATGTCATCTAATATTACATATTTTTAACCCGACGTACCGAATCAGATGAGCCGAAGCTCGAAAGTAAATGTACGAATGCAGATATAATTAGTACCACGGTCGCGTAATAAAACTCCCAAGTTTACGTATTTCTGAACTCCTAACTCTTATCAAACAGCAGAAATAACAACTGGATGTACTTACTCTTCTCATTTACGCACACTCTGAAGAAAGGTGCAGCCTGACTATCTCTATCGTACTGCGTACTAACTGTGTGACGTCTGATAATATACAAACCAGCACGCGCTTTGGCTACCCGGTGCTAAATAAACAGAAATAACGGGAAACACGAAGCCCAATATGGTCAACTGTACTAAATAATAACATAACTTTGGAGCCTTTCCTACACAGGCTCAAAATTTTTTGATTTTGTCGACTCAAATGTTTTTACTGAGAGGAGTTTGACTTTTTATTATCTCATAAATACAGTCAACAGACATAAAACTCAGTTTTCACCATGTTTTTTGGGAATAAAATGTTTTATAAATCAGGCTGTGAAGATTTAGAATTTAGGATTTGGTGTGTGGAAGAGCTGCTGAAGCCTAAAACACATCAAACTGATTACTGAGGAACAGCACGCCACGTGACCAGAACTCCAAACTAGCCAATCAGATTTCACGCTGAGCTTAAATCCGCCTCTGCACTTTCACGATTGGTTGCTGGTACAAAGGAAATGACCATATTTGGATGTGACAGCGTTGTGCAGCAGAGAGATGATCCGGTGCAGACGGCGACAGCAGAAGGACGGGTAGCGTTAGAAAAGCTGACTTCAGGAGAAACCTACAGACGCTCAGAGACAAACTGCAGGAAAATAAACTACTGAATGTGGATTATTTTTCTTTACGCTAGTGTGAAAGACGACGCAGCAAAATTGACCAGAGTGCGATAAAACGGCGTTTATCCCTGCCCGTGTCTCAAACAGAGTACGGCCGGCTGTTGATCTAAACTTTCCTTCCTGCCTTGTGCTGACCGTCTGCCTGATTGTGTCTCTGCAGGGTCTTTAAGTGCACTCTGTGTCCGTACACCACCGTCAGCCAGTACCACTGGAGGAAACACCTGAGGAACCACTTCCCCAGCAAACTGCACACCTGCAGCC